GAGGTCACGACTGCTGCACTCGCCAATCTGTGATAAGGGGGAACGAGCTGAACTAAGACAACTGCGAAGGGCAATGAGGCCTTCACCTGCTCAGCCCAAACAACAACTGCAGTGGGAGGAAAGGAGGGGGAGAAAGATTGACTGGAGGAGAGCCATCAAGATTCGTGACTCACTTGCAACCCCAGCCAGGGCACGGGAAGTGGTGCTGAGAGTGCACAGCAACAACCTGCAGGTGGGGGAGAGACTTCCGTTCCTGGGCGCGAGGGCGCGCTGTGTTCATTGCGGGGAGGTGGAGTCACAGGACCATTGCCTTTTCAGCTGCCCCACGATACAACCAGTGGTGGGGGTGATGAAGAGGGCAGTACGATGTATGAACCCGGGCAGGTGCATGGAGAGCCTCGGAGACATGATGTTCCAGAAAAGCAGCACGTCGACGGGTTTTCCGGAGGCGGCTTTCATCTCGATCACAGCACACCAAGTCTGGCTAGAGAGGTGTAACGCGGTTTTCAGGGGCAGTCGGTTCCAGCCAAAAAGGGCACTGCGGCGCATAGCGGTGAGCTTCGCAAGACACGTGAAGATCTACAGCCGGGCTCGGAAAAGGGTGGCTGGCAAGAGGGCTCCGAAAAAGACAGGTGACTGGAGTCATTTGGCAGCTGACGAGGCGGATGTCATGCGCAAATTGTACCAATGCGAAGCTTCGATGACGTGGAAGGCAGGATTCAAGGCAGTTTGGGAAGATGGTGGGGTGGCTTTCCAACCTCCGTAGAGATGAAGAGGGGGGAAATGTTTCTCGAATCATTTAGCCCTCCTAGACACAGTTACGACTGCGGATGTATGGATGCACGTTGTATACTTATATCCACCAAAAAAAAGAAAAAAAAAAAAAACTGAGCCTGAGGTGATTACCTACAGTCTCACTCAGCCTGAGGTGATTACCTGCAGTCTCACTCAGCCTGAGGTGATTACCTACAGTCTCACTCAGCCTGAGGTGATTACCTGCAGTCTCACTGAGCCTGAGGTGATTACCTGTAGTCTCACTCAGCCTGAGGTGATTACCTGCAGTCTCACTCAGCCTGAGGTGATTACCTGCAGTCTCACTCAGCCTGAGGTGATTACCTGCAGTCTCACTCAGCCTGAGGTGATTACCTGCAGTCTCACTCAGCCTGAGGTGATTACCTGCAGTCTCACTCAGCCTGAGGTGATTACCTGCAGTCTCACTCAGCCTGAGGTGATTACCTGCAGTCTCACTCAGCCTGAGGTGATTACCTGCAGTCTCACTCAGCCTGAGGTGATTACCTGCAGTCTCACTCAGCCTGAGGTGATTACCTGCAGTCTCACTCAGCCTGAGGTGATTACCTGCAGTCTCACTCAGCCTGAGGTGATTACCTGCAGTCTCACTCAGCCTGAGGTGATTACCTGCAGTCTCACTCAGCCTGAGGTGATTACCTGCAGTCTCACTCAGCCTGAGGTGATTACCTGCAGTCTCACTCAGCCTGAGGTGATTACCTGCAGTCTCACTCAGCCTAAGGTGATTACCTGCAGTCTCACTCAGCCTGAGGTGATTACCTGCAGTCTCACTCAGCCTGAGGTGATTACCTGCAGTCTCACTCAGCCTGAGGTGATTACCTGCAGTCTCACTCAGCCTGAGGTGATTACCTACAGTCTCACTCAGCCTGAGGTGATTACCTGCAGTCTCACTCAGCCTGAGGTGATTACCTGCAGTCTCACTCAGCCTGAGGTGATTACCTGCAGTCTCACTCAGCCTGAGGTGATTACCTGCAGTCTCACTCAGCCTGAGGTGATTACCTGCAGTCTCACTCAGCCTGAGGTGATTACCAGCAGTCTCACTGAGCCTGAGGTGATTACCTACAGTCTCACTGAGCCTGAGGTGATTACCTGCAGTCTCACTGAGCCTGAGGTGATTACCTGCAGTCTCACTCAGCCTGAGGTGATTACCTGCAGTCTCACTCAGCCTGAGGTGATTACCTGCAGTCTCACTCAGCCTGAGGTGATTACCTGCAGTCTCACTCAGCCTGAGGTGATTACCTGCAGTCTCACTCAGCCTGAGGTGATTACCTGCAGTCTCACTCAGCCTGAGGTGATTACCTGCAGTCTCACTCAGCCTGAGGTGATTACCTGCAGTCTCACTCAGCCTGAGGTGATTACCTGTAGTCTCACTCAGCCTGAGGTGATTACCTGCAGTCTCACTCAGCCTGAGGTGATTACCTGCAGTCTCACTCAGCCTGAGGTGATTACCTGCAGTCTCACTCAGCCTGAGGTGATTACCTGCAGTCTCACTCAGCCTGAGGTGATTACCTGCAGTCTCACTCAGCCTGAGGTGATTACCTGCAGTCTCACTCAGCCTGAGGTGATTACCTACAGTCTCACTCAGCCTGAGGTGATTACCTGCAGTCTCACTCAGCCTGAGGTGATTACCTGCAGTCTCACTCAGCCTGAGGTGATTACCTGCAGTCTCACTCAGCCTGAGGTGATTACCTGCAGTCTCACTCAGCCTGAGGTGATTACCTGCATTCTCACTCAGCCTAGCCGCGCGTTTAAACTCCTCCTTCTCTTCTCACACATGCCCAGCAACACACAACACAACACAGGTGACTCCTTTCTGAAAAAAGAAGAGTTTTGGGACGTCTCAAAACTCAAAAGTCTCACTCAGCCTAGCCGCGCGTTTAAACTCCTCCTTCTCTTCTCACACGTGCCCAGCAACACAAAGGTGACTCCTTTCTGCAGTTTAGAATCCTCCTTTCCTCAAGCCACTATCTGCATTCCGCAACCATTTGCCACCACACCCCACCCCATCCCACCACACCCCACCGCACCCCACCGCACCCCACCACACCTCAACCACCCCATCCCACCGCACTGCACCCCACCTGGATTCTCAGCTTAACAGCGCGTTCAAACTCCTCCTGGCATGTGTTGAGAAGAACACAGCGGAAGGAGATCGGCTCGTTCCCTCCTGCCCCCGCGCCCCCTTCCCCTGCGCCCCCTTCCTCTGCGCCCCCTTCCCCTGCGCCCCCCTCCCCCCTGCCTGCCCCGTTGGATGGCGGAAACTCGGGCAGCGCTCGCGAAAGTTTTTCGCAAAGGGCAGCATACATCGGGCAGAAGGTGGGTTCGTCTACTGCCTTGGTGAAAATTAAATTAATCACTCCCTGAGAGAGGGCGGGCGGAGATTAAGAGGGGGTGAGGTGACGGGAGGGAGAAGGTGGGTGAGAGGGGAGCGGGGGAAGAGGGGAGCGGGGGAAGAGGGGAGCGAGGGAAGAGGGGAGGGGGGAAAGATGGGAGGGGGAGAAGGGGGGTTTAGTTGATGTGAAGTGTACATTCAGCTGAAAGAAGAGGGAAGAGGAGAATGGTTTGGATTCTAAAAGGTGGGTTCGTCTACTGCCTTAGTGAAAATGAACGATATTAATGCAATTGTGAAGGGGGTAAGGATGGGGGAGGGGGGAGGGGGTGGGGATGGGGGGATTAAAAATGCATTGTGAAGCAATAATTCAAAACAGTTTGTTTAAGAACGGCGATTACTGAGCAGACATGCACTTCGTCTGTTAAATTCACCTGAAATGAATGAAACTTGCCTGCTCTGTTATAATCACCTGGAGGATCTCAGGTGTGTTGATGCCAGCTGTCAGGAGCTGCTGAAAAAGCGGATCGAACGTCTCAGGTGTGAGCTTGTTCAGAATGCTGCGGAGGACAAGGGTGAAGGTGGAAGGGGGAAGGGGGGAGAGGGAAGGGAAAGAAGGGATTGCGGAGGGGAAGGAAAGAGGGCAGGGGGGATGAGACGTCTCAAAGCCTGAAGATGGGATCGAACATTCCAGTGTGAGAGGGACAGGAATGTTCGAATCCGCTGGGGCGAACGGGTACAATCCAGCGGCCGTACGTACTCTTGCACTGTTCGCAGCACTTTCTGCTTCTCATCCACCACGCTTCCACGTGGCACCCGCGGATTGGCTGCCTCGACAATCGTGGTAGGATCCATGGTCAGGATTCGTACTTGCTGTGACGACGGCTTCTGGAATCGCAGGGATGCTACGATACTATTGTCCGTTGATTTCCTCCAAATTGCTTTGGCTATTATCAGCCGTCGATCTTCCCTCGAATTGCATCGGGTGGAGCTTCAGAAGAGCTATATATTCGCGTGAGGATGCATTTCAGAACCAGAACCGATTTACTAAGACTTTTCGTTTCTCTGTCGAACTAATAAGAGAACCGGCAATCGCGGAAACTAAATGATAACATTGGGGAATGGCAAACGACAGTAAAATCGACGAGGAGTTTACAAGAGTAGCAATGCGGCTCGCATTAGAAACTCTGCTGCCATTCTAAGAGGTATTTGATGAATTCTATCTTGATATTTCTGGTCATATCTCGCCAGAATGGGCGAAATTATGACCGAACTTTTGGTTACCACTTGTTGTGCGTGTAATTTCGCAAATATTGAAACTTCACGTCTGTCCCAAGCATTCATCAGCTCGAAATGCGGTCGCGATCGTGTTCACGACGGGTAACATGTCGCAACAGAATGCAAACTTGGAGTTGAGGGTAACCAACCTGATAAGGCCAGTTGGGTTCACTTAGATTTTATGTCAGAAATCACCCTGGTTTACAGAATCAATGGCGGCTTTTCTACTGGGCACTTGGTTTGATGAAATAGCCATACAGTAGCACCTTGTTGTGGGCGTAAAGCTGTTCTCGACCCTCTGTCCTGAGAATAAGGACGTTCACATATCTTTTACTCGGCTTAAAAAGCCGTTCTCGGGCTTCTATCGTTCTCAGAGAATAAGGACTTTCGTATCAAACAAGGAGGACAAGGAAGTTCGTAGCGAATCAAGCGTAGCCACTCGTGTAACGCGTATGCACACACACACGAGGCACCCAGCGCACAAGGCGCTGCTCGTCGGGGGCGCGGTTGATTGCGCATACTCCTTCTCAAACGCGGAATTGCTGTCTCTTCACAAAGAGTTCCGTTACGACGAAGACCTAGTCGCATGGCGGCAACGGCAGCGGCGGCGACAGGCCCGCGCGCGGGGTTCCCGTCGCAGGAGCTGCTGGACGACCTGTGCAGGTAGGCTGGCCTGGCGACCCGTGCGACCCGTGCGACATTTGCGAGCATTGCGACGTTTCAAGTCGCATACTTACCCTCGGTTAGGCCTGCTTTTCTTCCCAGGAGCTGCTGGACGACCTCTGCAGATACGCGCGCCCTGCGACCCGCTTCGAGCTCAACATGCCCGGGGAGGCGAGGACCTACAAATATGCCTTCCTCCCTCCCCTGTTCCACACACACCCCCTCCCCTCCCTCCCACTCCCTCCCCCTCCCTCCCCCTCCTTCCCCGTCCCCGCCCGCCCACCAGTCGCTTTGTCTTCAAGAGCCCGGGGAGGACCTTTGAGGCGCCTCCAGCAACGTCTTGACTCCCACCGCGCCCCTACCCCTCCCCCTGCTCCCCTCTTCTGACCACTCCTCCAACATGCAGCGCCCTGTGAGGCTCCTCAAAAGCCACCCCTCCTCCGCCCTCCCCTTCCCCCCCTGCCTCGCACCAGTCGCTTCGTCTTCAACGTACCAGGGGAGGACCTGCAGTCGTTTGAGCGCATGCTCTTTTCCATCGAACAGGTGCCGCGCCGCACTGCACTGTTTAGCACCGCTTGGTACCGCTTAGTTTTCTGCGGTATTGCTTTCTTCCAACGTTCGAACTCATGCTTTTCTCCATCAATGCAGTGCTTAGTAGAGGGCTTGCTACCGCTCAGCACCGCTTAGCACCCTATTGCACCGCTTAGTATCGTCTACCAGTGCTGACTTGCCAGTGCTGACGTGGCATGGCGTGCTGCGTGCTGACGTGGCAGGCGCATTGGTTCTACGAGGACAAGTGTCGCGAGCGGCACACGCCACCTCTTCGCTCGTTCACTCTCCGAGACTTCACCAACCTCTGTGCGTGAACCTTCTTATCATGTAATATCGTGTTTCACTCTGTTCCCCCTCTCGCCACCATCACCTCTCCGCTCGTTCACTCTCCGAGACTTCACCAACCTCTGTGCGTGAACCTTCTTATCATGTAATATCGTGTTTCACTCTGTTCCCCCTCTCGCCACCATCACCTCTCCGCTCGTTCACTCTCCGAGACTTCACCAACCTCTGTGCGTGAACCTTCTTATCATGTAATATCGTGTTTCACTCTGTTCCCCCTCTCGCCACCATCACCTCTCCGCTCGTTCACTCTCCGAGACTTCACCAACCTCTGTGCGTGAACCTTCTTATCATGTAATATCGTGTTTCACTCTGTTCCCCCTCTCGCCACCATCACCTCTCCGCTCGTTCACTCTCCGAGACTTCACCAACCTCTGTGCGTGAACCTTCTTATCATGTAATATCGTGTTTCACTCTGTTCCCCCTCTCGCCACCATCACCTCTCCGCTCGTTCACTCTCCGAGACTTCACCAACCTCCGTGCGTGAGCCTTGCTTCACTCTCTCCTCCTCCCTCCACCTCTGCCCTTGCTTTCCGATTCCCCTTCTTCCACCCTCTCATTCACTCTCCGACTTCACCAGCTACAAGTTCAATACAAAATGCCTGGCTGTCACGGGAGCCAACCCATCCCCCTCTTTTCCTCCCCTCTCTCTCCGCCCACCACGTTTCTCAAACCCTACTGTCCATCTCTCCCACTGTCGGTGTTCCAGTCCAGCGCTGTGTGGCACTGTCACTGTTCCGTACGCTGCGAGAGTCAACGACATATACAACGAGTTCACGAGCTACAAATTCAAAGTGCCTGTCACACCTGTCGCCCCTGCCCCCCCTGTCCCCCCTGCCCCCCCTGTCCCCCCTGCCCCCCCTGCCCCCCCTGCCCCCCCTGTCGCCCCTCCCCCCCCTGCCCCCCCTGCCCCCCCTGCCCCACCTGCCCCCTCTGCCCCCCCTGTCCCCCCTGTCGCCCCTGCCCCCCCTGCCCCCCCTGTCGCCCCTGCCCCCCCTGCCCCCCCTGTCGCCCCTGCCCCCCCTGCCCCCCCTGCCCCCTCTGCCCCCCCTGTCCCCCCTGTCGCCCCTGCCCCCCCTGCCCCCCCTGCCCCCTCTGCCCCCCCTGTCCCCCCTGTCGCCCCTGGACCCCCTGTCCACCCTCCCACCCTGTCCCCCCTCTCTGCCCCACCATCAGTGTTCCAGCGCTGTGTGGCTCTTAAACCATACGCGGCACGAGTCAATGACATATACAACGAGTTTACGAGCTACAAGTTCAAAGTGCCGGTCACGGGGGCGATCATCCTTGACCATTCAATGACCCGGGTATGCACGCACTATGCACTGCACGCACTATGCACTGCACGCACTATGCGTGATGGACGGTTCTTTTGTTCCTTCTTCTTTCGCATCACGTGGGTATGTTCCAAACGTCCGTCTCCAAGTTCAAAGTGCCGGTCACGGGGGCGATCATCCTCGACCATTCAATGACCCGGGTATGTATACGTAAACATTTTCTAACTCTAAATCGGTGGCTGTGTCTTCTCCTATCCTCCCCGCACCTTAGCAATCCCTGCGCTAATCATCCTCTCATCATCCTCTCATTATCCTCTCATTATCTCATCATCCTCTCATTATCCTCTCATTATCCTCTCATTATCTCATCATCCTCTCATTATCCTCTCATTATCCTCTCATTATCTCATCATCCTCTCATTATCCTCTCATTATCCTCTCATTATCTCATCATCCTCTCATTATCCTCTCATTATCCTCTCATTATCTCATCATCCTCTCATTATCCTCTCATTATCCTCTCATTATCTCATCATCCTCTCATTATCCTCTCATTATCCTCTCATTATCTCATCATCCTCTCATCATCCTCTCATTATCCTCTCATTATCTCATCATCCTCTCATTATCCTCTCATTATCCTCTCATTATCTCATCATCCTCTCATTATCCTCTCATTATCCTCTCATTATCTCATCATCCTCTCATCATCCTCTCATTATCCTCTCATTATCTCATCATCCTCTCATTATCCTCTCATTATCCTCTCATTATCTCATCATCCTCTCATTATCCTCTCATTATCCTCTCATTATCTCATCATCCTCTCATTATCCTCTCATTATCCTCTCATTATCTCATCATCCTCTCATCATCCTCTCATTATCCTCTCATTATCTCATCATCCTCTCATTATCCTCTCATTATCCTCTCATTATCTCATCATCCTCTCATTATCCTCTCATTATCCTCTCATTATCTCATCATCCTCTCATTATCCTCTCATTATCCTCTCATTATCTCATCATCCTCTCATTATCCTCTCATTATCCTCTCATTATCTCATCATCCTCTCATCATCCTCTCATTATCCTCTCATTATCTCATCATCCTCTCATTATCCTCTCATTATCCTCTCATTATCTCATCATCCTCTCATTATCCTCTCATTATCCTCTCATTATCTCATCATCCTCTCATTATCCTCTCATTATCCTCTCATTATCTCATCATCCTCTCATTATCCTCTCATTATCCTCTCATTATCTCATCATCCTCTCATTATCCTCTCATTATCCTCTCATTATCTCATCATCCTCTCATTATCCTCTCATTATCCTCTCATTATCTCATCATCCTCTCATTATCCTCTCATTATCCTCTCATTATCTCATCATCCTCTCATTATCCTCTCATTATCCTCTCATTATCTCATCATCCTCTCATCATCCTCTCATTATCCTCTCATTATCTCATCATCCTCTCATTATCCTCTCATTATCCTCTCATTATCTCATCATCCTCTCATTATCCTCTCATTATCCTCTCATTATCTCATCATCCTCTCATCATCCTCTCATTATCCTCTCATTATCTCATCATCCTCTCATTATCCTCTCATTATCCTCTCATTATCTCATCATCCTCTCATTATCCTCTCATTATCCTCTCATTATCTCATCATCCTCTCATTATCCTCTCATTATCCTCTCATTATCTCATCATCCTCTCATCATCCTCTCATTATCCTCTCATTATCTCATCATCCTCTCATTATCCTCTCATTATCCTCTCATTATCTCATCATCCTCTCATTATCCTCTCATTATCCTCTCATTATCTCATCATCCTCTCATTATCCTCTCATTATCCTCTCATTATCTCATCATCCTCTCATTATCCTCTCATTATCCTCTCATTATCTCATCATCCTCTCATCATCCTCTCATTATCCTCTCATTATCTCATCATCCTCTCATTATCCTCTCATTATCCTCTCATTATCTCATCATCCTCTCATTATCCTCTCATTATCCTCTCATTATCTCATCATCCTCTCATTATCCTCTCATTATCCTCTCATTATCTCATCATCCTCTCATTATCCTCTCATTATCCTCTCATTATCTCATCATCCTCTCATTATCCTCTCATTATCCTCTCATTATCTCATCATCCTCTCATTATCCTCTCATTATCCTCTCATTATCTCATCATCCTCTCATTATCCTCTCATTATCCTCTCATTATCTCATCATCCTCTCATTATCCTCTCATTATCCTCTCATTATCTCATCATCCTCTCATTATCCTCTCATTATCCTCTCATTATCTCATCATCCTCTCATTATCCTCTCATTATCCTCTCATTATCTCATCATCCTCTCATTATCCTCTCATTATCCTCTCATTATCTCATCATCCTCTCATTATCCTCTCATTATCCTCTCATTATCTCATCATCCTCTCATTATCCTCTCATTATCCTCTCATTATCTCATCATCCTCTCATTATCCTCTCATTATCCTCTCATTATCTCATCATCCTCTCATCATCCTCTCATTATCCTCTCATTATCTCATCATCCTCTCATTATCCTCTCATTATCCTCTCATTATCTCATCATCCTCTCATTATCCTCTCATTATCCTCTCATTATCTCATCATCCTCTCATTATCCTCTCATTATCCTCTCATTATCTCATCATCCTCTCATTATCCTCTCATTATCCTCTCATTATCTCATCATCCTCTCATCATCCTCTCATTATCCTCTCATTATCTCATCATCCTCTCATTATCCTCTCATTATCCTCTCATTATCTCATCATCCTCTCATTATCCTCTCATTATCCTCTCATTATCTCATCATCCTCTCATTATCCTCTCATTATCCTCTCATTATCTCATCATCCTCTCATTATCCTCTCATTATCCTCTCATTATCTCATCATCCTCTCATTATCCTCTCATTATCCTCTCATTATCTCATCATCCTCTCATTATCCTCTCATTATCCTCTCATTATCTCATCATCCTCTCATTATCCTCTCATTATCCTCTCATTATCTCATCATCCTCTCATTATCCTCTCATTATCCTCTCATTATCTCATCATCCTCTCATTATCCTCTCATTATCCTCTCATTATCTCATCATCCTCTCATCATCCTCTCATTATCCTCTCATTATCTCATCATCCTCTCATTATCCTCTCATTATCCTCTCATTATCTCATCATCCTCTCATTATCCTCTCATTATCCTCTCATTATCTCATCATCCTCTCATTATCCTCTCATTATCCTCTCATTATCTCATCATCCTCTCATTATCCTCTCATTATCCTCTCATTATCTCATCATCCTCTCATTATCCTCTCATTATCCTCTCATTATCTCATCATCCTCTCATCATCCTCTCATTATCCTCTCATTATCTCATCATCCTCTCATTATCCTCTCATTATCCTCTCATTATCTCATCATCCTCTCATTATCCTCTCATTATCCTCTCATTATCTCATCATCCTCTCATCATCCTCTCATTATCCTCTCATTATCTCATCATCCTCTCATTATCCTCTCATTATCCTCTCATTATCTCATCATCCTCTCATTATCCTCTCATTATCCTCTCATTATCTCATCATCCTCTCATCATCCTCTCATTATCCTCTCATTATCTCATCATCCTCTCATTATCCTCTCATTATCCTCTCATTATCTCATCATCCTCTCATTATCCTCTCATTATCCTCTCATTATCTCATCATCCTCTCATTATCCTCTCATTATCCTCTCATTATCTCATCATCCTCTCATCATCCTCTCATTATCCTCTCATTATCTCATCATCCTCTCATTATCCTCTCATTATCCTCTCATTATCTCATCATCCTCTCATTATCCTCTCATTATCCTCTCATTATCTCATCATCCTCTCATTATCCTCTCATTATCCTCTCATTATCTCATCATCCTCTCATTATCCTCTCATTATCCTCTCATTATCTCATCATCCTCTCATCATCCTCTCATTATCCTCTCATTATCTCATCATCCTCTCATTATCCTCTCATTATCCTCTCATTATCTCATCATCCTCTCATTATCCTCTCATTATCCTCTCATTATCTCATCATCCTCTCATTATCCTCTCATTATCCTCTCATTATCTCATCATCCTCTCATTATCCTCTCATTATCCTCTCATTATCTCATCATCCTCTCATTATCCTCTCATTATCCTCTCATTATCTCATCATCCTCTCATTATCCTCTCATTATCCTCTCATTATCTCATCATCCTCTCATTATCCTCTCATTATCCTCTCATTATCTCATCATCCTCTCATTATCCTCTCATTATCCTCTCATTATCTCATCATCCTCTCATTATCCTCTCATTATCCTCTCATTATCTCATCATCCTCTCATCATCCTCTCATTATCCTCTCATTATCTCATCATCCTCTCATTATCCTCTCATTATCCTCTCATTATCTCATCATCCTCTCATTATCCTCTCATTATCCTCTCATTATCTCATCATCCTCTCATTATCCTCTCATTATCCTCTCATTATCTCATCATCCTCTCATTATCCTCTCATTATCCTCTCATTATCTCATCATCCTCTCATCATCCTCTCATTATCCTCTCATTATCTCATCATCCTCTCATTATCCTCTCATTATCCTCTCATTATCTCATCATCCTCTCATTATCCTCTCATTATCCTCTCATTATCTCATCATCCTCTCATTATCCTCTCATTATCCTCTCATTATCTCATCATCCTCTCATTATCCTCTCATTATCCTCTCATTATCTCATCATCCTCTCATTATCCTCTCATTATCCTCTCATTATCTCATCATCCTCTCATCATCCTCTCATTATCCTCTCATTATCTCATCATCCTCTCATTATCCTCTCATTATCCTCTCATTATCTCATCATCCTCTCATTATCCTCTCATTATCCTCTCATTATCTCATCATCCTCTCATTATCCTCTCATTATCCTCTCATTATCTCATCATCCTCTCATTATCCTCTCATTATCCTCTCATTATCTCATCATCCTCTCATCATCCTCTCATTATCCTCTCATTATCTCATCATCCTCTCATTATCCTCTCATTATCCTCTCATTATCTCATCATCCTCTCATTATCCTCTCATTATCCTCTCATTATCTCATCATCCTCTCATTATCCTCTCATTATCCTCTCATTATCTCATCATCCTCTCATTATCCTCTCATTATCCTCTCATTGTCTCATCATCCTCTCATTATCCTCTCATTATCCTCTCATTATCTCATCATCCTCTCATTATCCTCTCATTATCCTCTCATTATCTCATCATCCTCTCATTATCCTCTCATTATCCTCTCATTATCTCATCATCCTCTCATTATCCTCTCATTATCCTCTCATTATCTCATCATCCTCTCATTATCCTCTCATTATCCTCTCATTATCTCATCATCCTCTCATCATCCTCTCATTATCCTCTCATTATCTCATCATCCTCTCATTATCCTCTCATTATCCTCTCATTATCTCATCATCCTCTCATTATCCTCTCATTATCCTCTCATTATCTCATCATCCTCTCATTATCCTCTCATTATCCTCTCATTATCTCATCATCCTCTCATTATCCTCTCATTATCCTCTCATTATCTCATCATCCTCTCATCATCCTCTCATTATCCTCTCATTATCTCATCATCCTCTCATTATCCTCTCATTATCCTCTCATTATCTCATCATCCTCTCATTATCCTCTCATTATCCTCTCATTATCTCATCATCCTCTCATTATCCTCTCATTATCCTCTCATTATCTCATCATCCTCTCATCATCCTCTCATTATCCTCTCATTATCTCATCATCCTCTCATTATCCTCTCATTATCCTCTCATTATCTCATCATCCTCTCATTATCCTCTCATTATCCTCTCATTATCTCATCATTATCCTCTCATTATCCTCTCATTATCCTCTCATTATCTCATCATCCTCTCATTATCCTCTCATTATCCTCTCATTATCTCATCATCCTCTCATTATCCTCTCATTATCCTCTCATTATCTCATCATCCTCTCATTATCCTCTCATTATCCTCTCATTATCTCATCATCCTCTCATTATCCTCTCATTATCCTCTCATTATCTCATCATCCTCTCATTATCCTCTCATTATCCTCTCATTATCTCATCATCCTCTCATTATCCTCTCATTATCCTCTCATTATCTCATCATCCTCTCATCATCCTCTCATTATCCTCTCATTATCTCATCATCCTCTCATTATCCTCTCATTATCCTCTCATTATCTCATCATCCTCTCATTATCCTCTCATTATCCTCTCATTATCTCATCATCCTCTCATTATCCTCTCATTATCCTCTCATTATCTCATCATCCTCTCATTATCCTCTCATTATCCTCTCATTATCTCATCATCCTCTCATTATCCTCTCATTATCCTCTCATTATCTCATCATCCTCTCATCATCCTCTCATTATCCTCTCATTATCTCATCATCCTCTCATTATCCTCTCATTATCCTCTCATTATCTCATCATCCTCTCATTATCCTCTCATTATCCTCTCATTATCTCATCATCCTCTCATTATCCTCTCATTATCCTCTCATTATCTCATCATCCTCTCATTATCCTCTCATTATCCTCTCATTATCTCATCATCCTCTCATCATCCTCTCATTATCCTCTCATTATCTCATCATCCTCTCATTATCCTCTCATTATCCTCTCATTATCTCATCATCCTCTCATTATCCTCTCATTATCCTCTCATTATCTCATCATCCTCTCATTATCCTCTCATTATCCTCTCATTATCTCATCATCCTCTCATTATCCTCTCATTATCCTCTCATTGTCTCATCATCCTCTCATTATCCTCTCATTATCCTCTCATTATCTCATCATCCTCTCATTATCCTCTCATTATCCTCTCATTATCTCATCATCCTCTCATTATCCTCTCATTATCCTCTCATTATCTCATCATCCTCTCATTATCCTCTCATTATCCTCTCATTATCTCATCATCCTCTCATTATCCTCTCATTATCTCATCATCCTCTCATTATCCTCTCATTATCCTCTCATTATCTCATCATCCTCTCATCATCCTCTCATTATCCTCTCATTATCTCATCATCCTCTCATTATCCTCTCATTATCCTCTCATTATCTCATCATCCTCTCATTATCCTCTCATTATCCTCTCATTATCTCATCATCCTCTCATTATCCTCTCATTATCTCATCATCCTCTCATTATCCTCTCATTATCCTCTCATTATCTCATCATCCTCTCATCATCCTCTCATTATCCTCTCATTATCTCATCATCCTCTCATTATCCTCTCATTATCCTCTCATTATCTCATCATCCTCTCATTATCCTCTCATTATCCTCTCATTATCTCATCATCCTCTCATCATCCTCTCATTATCCTCTCATTATCTCATCATCCTCTCATCATCCTCTCATTATCCTCTCATTATCTCATCATCCTCTCATTATCCTCTCATTATCCTCTCATTATCTCATCATCCTCTCATTATCCTCTCATTATCCTCTCATTATCTCATCATCCTCTCATTATCCTCTCATTATCCTCTCATTATCTCATCATCCTCTCATTATCCTCTCATTATCCTCTCATTATCTCATCATCCTCTCATTATCCTCTCATTATCCTCTCATTATCTCATCATCCTCTCATTATCCTCTCATTATCCTCTCATTATCTCATCATCCTCTCATCATCCTCTCATTATCCTCTCATTATCTCATCATCCTCTCATTATCCTCTCATTATCCTCTCATTATCTCATCATCCTCTCATTATCCTCTCATTATCCTCTCATTATCTCATCATCCTCTCATTATCCTCTCATTATCCTCTCATTATCTCATCATCCTCTCATTATCCTCTCATTATCCTCTCATTATCTCATCATCCTCTCATTATCCTCTCATTATCCTCTCATTATCTCATCATCCTCTCATTATCCTCTCATTATCCTCTCATTATCTCATCATCCTCTCATTATCCTCTCATTATCCTCTCATTATCTCATCATCCTCTCATTATCCTCTCATTATCCTCTCATTATCTCATCATCCTCTCATTATCCTCTCATTATCCTCTCATTATCTCATCATCCTCTCATTATCCTCTCATTATCCTCTCATTATCTCATCATCCTCTCATTATCCTCTCATTATCCTCTCATTATCTCATCATCCTCTCATTATCCTCTCATTATCCTCTCATTATCTCATCATCCTCTCATCATCCTCTCATTATCCTCTCATTATCTCATCATCCTCTCATTATCCTCTCATTATCCTCTCATTATCTCATCATCCTCTCATTATCCTCTCATTATCCTCTCATTATCTCATCATCCTCTCATTATCCTCTCATTATCCTCTCATTATCTCATCATCCTCTCATTATCCTCTCATTATCCTCTCATTATCTCATCATCCTCTCATTATCCTCTCATTATCCTCTCATTATCTCATCATCCTCTCATTATCCTCTCATTATCCTCTCATTATCTCATCATCCTCTCATTATCCTCTCATTATCCTCTCATTATCTCATCATCCTCTCATTATCCTCTCATTATCCTCTCATTATCTCATCATCCTCTCATTATCCTCTCATTATCCTCTCATTATCTCATCATCCTCTCATTATCCTCTCATTATCCTCTCATTATCTCATCATCCTCTCATTATCCTCTCATTATCCTCTCATTATCTCATCATCCTCTCATTATCCTCTCATTATCCTCTCATTATCTCATCATCCTCTCATTATCCTCTCATTATCCTCTCATTATCTCATCATCCTCTCATTATCCTCTCATTATCCTCTCATTATCTCATCATCCTCTCATTATCCTCTCATTATCCTCTCATTATCTCATCATCCTCTCATTATCCTCTCATTATCCTCTCATTATCTCATCATCCTCTCATTATCCTCTCATTATCCTCTCATTATCTCATCATCCTCTCATCATCCTCTCATTATCCTCTCATTATCTCATCATCCTCTCATTATCCTCTCATTATCCTCTCATTATCTCATCATCCTCTCATTATCCTCTCATTATCCTCTCATTATCTCATCATCCTCTCATTATCCTCTCATTATCCTCTCATTATCTCATCATCCTCTCATTATCCTCTCATTATCCTCTCATTATCTCATCATCCTCTCATTATCCTCTCATTATCCTCTCATTATCTCATCATCCTCTCATTATCCTCTCATTATCCTCTCATTATCTCATCATCCTCTCATCATCCTCTCATTATCCTCTCATTATCTCATCATCCTCTCATTATCCTCTCATTATCCTCTCATTATCTCATCATCCTCTCATTATCCTCTCATTATCCTCTCATTATCTCATCATCCTCTCATTATCCTCTCATTATCCTCTCATTATCTCATCATCCTCTCATTATCCTCTCATTATCCTCTCATTATCTCATCATCCTCTCATTATCCTCTCATTATCCTCTCATTATCTCATCATCCTCTCATTATCCTCTCATTATCCTCTCATTATCTCATCATCCTCTCATTATCCTCTCATTATCCTCTCATTATCTCATCATCCTCTCATTATCCTCTCATCATTTCCTTGTGGTTAGAATGTTTCCTACGTCACCCTGATCATGTCAGCTTAGCCACCTTGCTTGATATGTTAGTGTTCCGCTATTTCTGCCGCCACCTCCCCTCTCTCCACCCCTGCCCTGCCGTGCTGCTACAGTGCATACTCGTTAAAGGGTGGCGAACCTCTGCGAGTTGGGGCTTTCCCAAGGGCAAGAAGGGGCTAAAGGAGACGGATGCCGAGGCAGCGGTCAGGGAGGTGGGTGGATGGTTGGGTAGAGGGGGATGTGGGTGGTTATGTTGGTGCGGGTTGTGTCTGCTGGTCCAGAGGATGAAGGGGAAAGAAGGGGCTAAAGGAGACGGATGCCGAGGCAGCAGTCAGAGAGGTGGGTGGATGGTGAGGGGAGGTTGTGGGTGGATGGTGAGGGGAGGGCGTGTGTGTGTTGCTTAGGAGGTCGAAGTGGGCAAGAAGGGGCTAAAGGAAACGAATGCCGAGGCAGGGAGGTGGGTGGATGGTGAGGGGAGGGTGGGTGTGCGTTGCTTGAGTGGTTAGAGTGACGTTAAAAGAAAAGAAGCGGCTCAAACAGACGGATGCCGAGGCAGCGGTCAGGGAGGTGGGTGGCTGGTGAGGGGAGGGTGGGTGGATAGTGAGGGGAGGGCGTGTGTACTTCTTGAGAGGTCTAAGGGCAAGAAGGGGCTCAAACAGACGGATGCAGAGGCAGCGGTTAGGGAGGTGGGTAGTTGGTGGGGGGTGGTGGGTGGTTGGGGAGAGGTGGGTGGTTGGGGAGAGGTTTGCAGTTCGGTTGGCACAGGTGTGTGCTTCTTGAGAGGTCTAAGGGAAAGAAGGGGCTCAAACAGACGGACACAGAGGCAGCGGTCAGGGAGGTGGACGGGGGAAAGAAGGGGCTCAAGGAAACAGATGCAGAGGCAATGGTTAGGGAGGCGGGTGGTTGGAGGGAGGTGGGTGGCTGGAGGGAGGTGAGTGGTCAAGGGGAGATGGGTGGTTGGGAGGAGGTGAGTGGTTTGGAGGAGGTGAGTGGTTTGGTTGGTGCAAGTTGTACGCGTTGATTGAGGGCAAAACGGCCAGAAGGAGCTCATACAGACGGATGCAGAGGCAGCAGAGCAGAGCAGAGCAGAGCAGTCAGGAAGGTGGGGTGGCAGGGCAGCCCCAGTCGAAGCAGTAGCAGCAGCAGCATCGTTAAGAATTGCTCAGATTCTTTTTGCTTTTCTCTTTCTCTGCTGCTCCCCTCTCTGGTCAACCAATCCGCTTGTCTTCCTGCCTGCAATCGCAGGTGTTGGAGGAGACAGGCTTTGACATCTCCCCGCTGGTCAAACCCTCAGAGTATCTGGAGGTGGTGGCCAGGCAGCAGCAGCAGCAGCAGCAGCAGCAGCAGTGGGAGCATGCATTGCCCACGTTCCTTCATATTCTCCTTCATCCTCTTTGCTCCCCTGTGGACATCAATACCTCCTCCTCTCCCCATGACAGGTGTTGGAGGAGACAGGCTTTGACATCTCCCCTCTGGTCAACCCCTCAGAATATCTGGAGGTGGTGGCAGGGCAGCAGCAGAACGGATGTAACACCCATCCATTTTCCTTCATTTGCTTATCACAGGTGTTGGAGGAGACAGGCTTTGACATCTCCCCTCTGGTCAACCCCTCAGAATATCTGGAGGTGGTGGCAGGGCAGCAGCAGCAGCAGCAGCAGCAGTGGGAGCATCGAGCCTCAATATATTCTCCCTTATTCTCTCTCATCCCCTTCCCCCCAATCACAGGTCTTGGAGGAGACAGGCTTTGACATTTCTTCTCTGGTGAACCCCTCAGAGTATCTGGAGGTGGTGGCAGGGCAGCAGCAGCAGCGCTCGCGCCTGTTTGTGGTTGCGGGGGTGGACTCGCGCACTGCAGTGTTTCAACCACAGACAGTCAAGGAGATCAGTGTAAGTGGAGTGGGGTGGGTGGGTGTGCGTGCATGTGGTGGCAAGTGATGCATGCAGCAGGGCAGCAGCAGCAGCAGCGCTCACGGCTGTTTGTGGTTGCGGGGGTGGACTCGCGCACTGCAGTGTTCCAGCCACAAACCGTGAAAGAGATCAGCGTGAGTGGGGTGGTTGGGGCCGTGCATGTGGTGGGATGTGAAGGGCTGTATGCAGCAAGGTAGCAGCAGCAGCGCTCGCGCCTGTTTGTGCTGTCAGGTGTTGATTCGCGCACTGCAGTGTTCCAGCCACAGACATTCAAGGAGATCAGAGTGAATGGAGTGGAGCTGGTGGGTGGGTGGGTGGGCGGGGCTTTGCAGTTGGAGGGAACCGCTGTATGCGTCAAAGAAGCACAAGGAACCACGGGTGTTTGTGGTGGTGGGTGTGGACTGATGCACTGCAGTGTTCCATTCCTTTCCTCCTCTTCCGCCACTTCTCAAAACGGTTCAAAAATGTCGCCATTCCTTCACTCTCTGCTTCAAAACAGTTTATATGTAGGCAAGGCAGGATAGATTTTCCATCTTTCTACTTTCTTCTTTGCTGCTCTCCCTCCTCTCTCTCAGGAGATCGCCTGAGATCGCCTGAGAGAGAGAGGAGGGAGAGCTATATCATCTATATCAATTTCAGCTATATCACTGCACGGACCATTAGAGGAGGGAGAGCTCAGATCTCGTGCAGGAAAGCTCTCATCTGTGACTCAGAGACAGCCACAGCCACATAGCAGTGCAACGGAGCCCTGCCAGTCTCTCGCACAGTCAGTAACTGGGGCGAACTGATTAATTGACCCAACTGACCTTGTCCTCCTTCACTGCTCTCTCCCCTCTCCCCTCTCCCATCCTCCCCTCCTCCCCTCCTCCCCTCCTCCCCTCCTCCCCTCCTCCCCTCCTCCCCTCCTCCCCTCCTCCCCTCCTCCCCTCCTCCCCTCCTCCCCTCCTCCCCCCCCTCCCCTCCTCCCCTCCTCCCCTCCTCCCCTCCTCCCCTCCTCCCCTCCTCCCCTCCTCCCCTCCTCCCCTCCTCCGCTGCCAGCCTCTCGCACTGTGGGCGGGGTAAACTCGTTTTGAGACGTCCCAAAACACTCTCGCACTGTGGGCGGGGTAAACTCGTTTTGAGACGTCCCAAAACACTCTCGCACTGTGGGCGGGGTAAACTCGTTTTGAGACGTCCCAAAACACTCTCGCACTGTGGGCGGGGTAAACTCGCCCAACCGACCTCTTTCTGCCTCACCGCTCTCTTTAAACCCTGAACCCTTCCCTCCCCTCTCAGGAGATCGCATGGCATCTGATATGTGACTTGGCCACTGCTCAGTGCGACGGAGCGCTGCCAGTCTCTCGCACAGTCAGCGGAGCCAAGCTCTTCATGGTGCAGCCGTTTGTGAGGTGCGTGGGTGGGTGTGGGTGTGGCAAGAGGTGTGTGTGTATACAAGTGCACCCCGTGTGTGACTTGGCTCTGCTTGTGTCTCTCGCACAGTCAGCGGGGCCAAGCTCTTTATGGTGCAGCCGTTCGTGAGGTGCGTGGGTGAGTGAGTGTGAGTATGTTGTGTGTTGCTGAGGTGGCCGTGATCATGCTTGTATATTTCTGCAATGTCCCCCATGTGTGACTTGGCCCTGCCACTCTCTCGCACAGTCAGTGGAGCCAAGCTCTTTATGGTGCAGCCGTTTGTGAGGTGCGTGGATGAGTGTGGGTATGGCAAGCGACTTGCGTATATACTTGTGCCACCCATGTGGTGACTTTTGAGTCGACTCAAAAGCGACTTGCGTATATACTTGTGCCACCCATGTGGTGACTTTTGAGTCGACTCAAAAGCGACTTGCGTATATACTTGTGCCACCCATGTGCTACAATACAAAGCCCTGCCAGTCTCTCGCATTATGAGCGGGTTGAGAATTTCCGCTCTCTCGTCTCCCTTTCCCCCTCACCCTTACCAGGCATCTCCTCGAGAGGCCTGTGTGACCCATCTCTGCCCCATCATGCTGCCTCTGCGGTTATCCTCCATCTCTGCCCATCTCGTCTAAACCCAACCCCCCCTCACCACAGGCCTCTGGTAGAGTGGATAGACCGCCACCACACGCCCGACTCCCGGCAGCTCGCTCTTTGCTTCCACACCTTTCCATCCACCACCCCACACCCATCCCCACCGCTCACCACAGGCCCCTGCTCGAGTGGATAGACCGCCACCACACGCCCGACTCCCGGCAGCTCGCAGTGCACATGATGCCGCAGAACGTTCCAGGAAGCATCATCTCTGTGTGGAAGACCAGCAGCGTTCTACCCGCCTCACCACAAACATCCCACTCTTTCGCTCCTCCTGCTGCTTCCGTTGCTCCTCCTTCTCCTCCCGCTGCTGCTGCTGCTGCTGCTGCTGCTCCCCTGACTGCTCCTCCCCCCGCTGCTGCACCCCATCATCCCACCATCCAAGCCACCACCACAGTCCCACACATTCCCACTGCATCCCCTTCCTCTCTCCGGCATCCAGTCTCCTCGCGCCACGTGGCGGCGGCCAGGAAGCAGCTCTTTCCCGCCGATTCTCCCCCTCAGGCCACGTCAGCACCGTCTGGGATCCTGCCAGGTGGCGCCCGGGCGGGAATCCTCAGGCTGCCAGCTGGCACTCTCCCACGGCAAAGCTTACATCAGCAACAACAGCAGCAGAGACCATCAACGTTATCGGCACCACAACCAGCAGCAACAGCAGCAGAACCACCAACATCATTAGCGGCAGCAGCTGCAGCGGCGGCGGCGGTTGCTCTGCTCCCTCCTTGCTCAGAATGGATAAATTTCAAATTTGATAGCGCCGCCATTGTGCGTGCCATGCAGGCTGCGTGAATGACTGCTGCGTGACTGTCTGCTAGCTTTAACTTCATTGCTCGGCGGCGGTTCCTCTGCTTCCTCCGTGCTCCGAGTGGGTCAACTTCAAGTTTGATCGCGACGCCATTCTGCTTGCCATGCAGGCTGCATGACTGAATGCTACGTCTGTGACCTGTTAGCCCCACTGCTCCCAATCCCCATACTCTCCGCGAATCAGCATCAGCAACCATTCTGCGTGCCATGCAGGCTGCGTGACTGCTGCAGTTCTTCAAGCAGCAGCAAGAAGTGCACTTCTTGCTGCTGCTTACTTGAAAGCAGATTCCCTAGCTGCCTTTTGACCGTAGCTGCTACCGTCAGCCCCCGGATAGAAGCGCCCCTGGGGGTATAAAAAAACACTGTTTTTTAGGGGGTGCGCTTATATTTGAGGATTTTTATAAGCGCCGGGGCTTATATAATGACATATATGAAATCTAGTTTTTTTACACTAAAGTGTTCATCTCGTCCTTGCGATTTGAATCGAATCGATATTGTAGAGGGCATTGAATTTGAATTTCGCGTGAATTGGCAGTGGCTGATTCCCTGCCAACACACACAGTCAGAATGAGTCAGATTGACTCCCTGCCAACACACACAGTCAGAATGAGTCAGATTGACCCCATGACAGCTCATTCTGACTGGACGCGAAGGCATTGAGTCGCGCGAGGGGCAAGGGTTTCGAAATTCTGAATGTGGGGATGCAATATTGTGTTTCGTTTCAGCGTTTTCAGTAAAAATATAAAAAATATTACAGAGGGTGGCGCTTATAATCCGTAATCCTTCAGGGGTGCGCTTATAATCGAGGACCGGATATAAGCGCCCTCATCCTTTTATAAGCGCCGGCGCTTATCCGAGGCCTGCGCTTCTATCCGGGGGCTTAGGGTACCAAATTCAGTTTTTTTTTTCAGTAGGTAGAATTCTAGTAGCACTTTATGGTGCTACTCAAAACTTATTGAGATGCCGTGTTTGAAAACCAATGAATCATCCGATTCATTTTCCATAAATGCATGATACAAACATACACGCTCCAAAGGTAAGCTCTTGTAAGGAACAACACACGGAAAAGGCATCACAGCACAACCTATCAGTACCCCAGGATGTAGGAGCAGCCCTCATCCCATGCACACAGATACCGCGATTAGCAGGTACAGTAACACATTCTTTTAGGGAATACTCATGGCATCACAGCACAACATAGGTATCTTTACCCCAGGGTGCAGCAGCACCCCTCACCCCATGCACAGACACAGCACTACCCAACCCAGGTAACACATAAGTAAGCAACTAGGCACAACGTAGGTACCTGCACCCCAGGGTGCAGCAGCAGCCCTCCTTCGCCCACCCCATGCACAGACACAGCACTACCCACGTAACACACAAGTAAGCAACTAGGCACAACATAGGTACTACCTGTACCCCAGGGGTGCAGCAGCATCCCCTCCCTCGCCCACCCCATACACACAGACACAGCAGTACTGTAACTACTCTGTAGCATTAGTAGTAAGCGAGGGAGTGTGCCAGTGTGACTCTAACAGGTGTGTCCCCCACCTGTAATGTGACTATAGGAAACGGGCTCTCAGCAAACCCCTCTATAATCACACGCTGATCGCTCTTTGAAAGGCTTTCCTGGCAGCGGTACAGTAAGCTCCCCTCAACGTAAGGATAAGGTTCGGATTCATAGTGACTGCAGGGGACTGTGACTGTATGGGAGTCAGTCAAGGAGATGGTGGGAGAGGAAGGGGTGGAAGCCGAAGTTACCCCTTCAATCTGGGCTACAAAGTCCATGTGGTTTATGGTGTTGCGATGGGTGGGGTGCCTGGAAAAAAAGGGTTGGAAAAAAAGGCAGGGGGAAAAGGGTGGTGAGAGAGAAGGGGAAAGCGTGGAGAGAGAGAGAGTCGGAGAGCGAGGCGAGAGGAGAGAAGAGAGGAGAAAGAAAGAGAGGGGGGAACGAGAAGAGAGTTTTAGGTTAACTGCTATCATCAAAGTCTATCCTGTTTGAGAGGCTTATGCTTTTTGGGTGGGAGGTAGGGGTGTTTAAGAGGCTTGTATACACTAGAGTTTACGGCTGAACTGGAACAATATATATATAAAGCATCTGTTTTTGAGTCGACTAAAAAATGGACTCAGCTCTCGGCTGAACTGGAAAGATATATATCTTGAAAGGCTGACCTTCCAAGAACACCAAGAGAAGGAGTGGGGGGTGTGGGCGTTTGGGGTGGAGTGGGGTGGGGTCGAAAGGAGAGAGGGAGGGAGGTTGGGTGGGGGGCGGGGTATGGGGGGAGGGGAGGAGGGGAGGGGAGGGGGGGAGGGAAAGAGGAGGTCGACATGATATAAGGCCAATAGTATGAGAAATATAAGATTAAAAAATGTTGTCAAAATTACGGGCCTTATATGAGAGAGATATAGCATGATAGTTTGTATACAAGGGGGAAAAGGGGGTGTTAGGTCTCTGGTCGCCCAAGGGTGTGAGGGTGTGGGGTGGGATGGTGGAAAGGGGGAAGGGGGAGGGGAGGGGGGAGGGGGAGGGAGAGGGAGGGGAACGGAAAAGGGAGGGTTTGAGGTGGGGGAATGTTTTAAGGCACTCACCGGTGCACCTTGAGACAGACGTCGACCGATGAGAAGGGGTCTGATGGCGTGCCGAGTATGACCTCGCAATATGAGCCTGATGGGTACAGAGAAGAGTACGGTTGAAAGGATTGGAAAGAGTGAAGAGGTAACGTCTCTCGCACGGGATGGAGAAGAGGGAGATTTTGAGAATTTTCAAAATCAACCTAAAAAAAAGAGTGGAACGCGAATAGAGGTATTAATGAATTCTCAAACGTCTCTCGCAGGAGATGGAGAAGAGGGAGAGAGGGACCGGAATGAGAGTAAGAGAGCGAGGGACCGGAATGAGAGAAAGAGAGCGAGGCAAGAGGGGGCGGTGGAACATGAATCACGAAAAGAGCAGAGATGGGAAGAGATGGAAAAAAACAGACCTTCCTCCCAAAAAAATAGCAGTGACTTCTCCCCTGGTGTCGGAAATTCTCTTGGGAACTCACCGATGACGTCATCGTCGGCAAAATAGACGTTGTCGGGAAGAGGATTCCGCGCAAGAGTGGCGGGGAGAAGAGCAGCGAGGAGGACTGCACGCGGGCAGAGAGACGTGAGGGAAGAAAACACGGAACGAAAACGGAAAGAAAACGGAAAGAAATCGTTGAGGCGCCGCCTCAACATTGATTTCATCTCACGAAAGAGCAACCGGGAGGAGAGCAGCGAGGAGGACTGCACGCGGCGGGCAGAGATGTACGATGGACGGGAAAAGAAGGCGAATAAAAAATGCTTCTGCGTTTTGAAGGCACAAAAACTAGAGAAGGAGGAATTAGAAGCAAAAAACAAAACAGAAGGCAGTATTTTTTTCTGTTGCGAAAGAAATCATCACGCAGTTTTCCAGAGGAGAACGTACGAGCAAAGGTGACAACGCCGGAAGGTTGACGCCGCGCCGCAGCAGCCATGGCTGAAGCGCCGAATGAGAGAAAATCGGCACGATTGTTTCTTTCTTTTCTGACACGCCTCAAAAGGCCCACGGAGCCGTGACGGGTGGTACTGTGGCTCTCCTTGGCCCAAATCCGCGCCGCTTTTCGAGACGACTAAAAAAGCCACGGATCCGCGACAGGTGCAGGAGCTTTCCGTGAACGGAAGCTGCGTGGCTGAGTGTCACGTCAGCGTGTAGCGGGCCTCGTCTCAAAAATAGACAGGTGGTGCTGCGCGGCGGCTGATAGTCCCGTTAGTCAGTTAGCGGGCCTCGCACGGTCGATATTGTGTCACGTTAGTCAGCTAGCAACTCCTTCGTAGCTGGTTTTAGCTAAAAAGACGCACAGATCTGACCGAAAGGAGTCCTTCCCCTTCTAGCTCTCAACAGGGGGCAACGAGGCGACCTTAGAATCGACTCGAAAAAAGCTGGCACGCAATTAGCAGGATTTATGGCGGCGTAGGTCCGACCTAAACCCGCCGGCAATCTCCGCTGAAGCAACGAGGGCGGACGCGCGGCGTAGGGGAACATCATCAGAAAAATGTGCAAAGAATTTCCGGCAGTATTTGGGCGAATCTGCAGGACTAGTCAGGTGAAATCGGCGGGTTTCCATGCGCCCCGTAATTGGAGTGGCATATTGCCCGAAACCGTCTGTTTCCGCGCAGGTTGCGATCTGCCGGTTACGGGCCTGCTTTGTGCTACAGTACCCTCTAACATAGGGATGTAAGCGGTCGAAGTTGGTGACTTGCGCCTGTTTGGGGCGGTTGAAAATCGAGCAGTTTACGGTGGCGCAGTTCTTGGCCATTTTGGTACCACCCAGGTTTAGGTGGGGAACGAGAGGAGCTGGGCGAGTTCGCCAGTTTTTGGGGTGATGTCGCGTAGTTAGCGACTGCCTGCTTGTTGGCTCCAAGATTTTTGGACACACAGGGTTACTGTTACAGCTAAATACACTTCGTTACCACAATGTACACCTCAATTCACATTTGTCCGGGAAATTCCGCATATCGTAAACTAGTGAATCCAATTCGATTTCATTTTTATTTTCGATTTCTGTAATGATGTCAGTGAAATAGCAATTGCTTCCGAAATCTTTAGAATATATACAGCAAATCCTGACATTAAGCAAGAAACAAAAACCAGGGATCTTCATATCCTTGGTCTTTACACAATGAAAAGCACATGTTCCTGAAATACATTTCTTCCCAAATATGTAGCCAGTACACTGGAATACCCTGGAATGTTGAGCTGGAAATACTAGGCTGCAAAAATAACAATCCTTGCCGTTTCTCATCAGTACATTCAGCAACACGATTAAACCTGCATGTCAGGAAACAGAATGTTAGTTCAGGAAAAAAGAGTTAGTAAATGTAAACAAGTTGTCAAATGTTGAACATTGATATGATAGGCTATAGTGAGTTGCACTCTAGGGGGTACAGCTTCTAGGGTTGCTCATTTGTACCCCATTCGTTTCTATTCCAATCATTCCGTTGTTCGCTAACTTTGAGATGGTATCATGAGTAGGTGTCGATCCTCTCGCCTAGCCTAGCCTAGCTCGCGCCCTAGCGCCCTCCGCGCCCTTGCGCCCTAGCACACTCCGCGCCCTCCGCGCCCTCCGCGCCTTAGCCACCGCGCCCTCCGCGCCATCTCCGCGCCTTAGCGCCCTCCTCCTCCGCGCGTTAGCGCCCTCCGCGCCCCTAGCCTGCGCCCCTAGCCCGTCGCCCAGGCCCACGCCCTAGCCCGTCGCCCAGGCGCCCGCCCTAGCCCGTCGCCCAGGCGCCCGCCCTAGCCCGTCGCCCAGGCGCCCGCCCTAGCCCGTCGCCCAGGCGCCCGCCCTAGCCCGTCGCCCAGGCGCCCGCCGTAGCCCGGTCGCCCAGGCGCCCGCCGTAGCCCGTCGCCCAGGCGCCCGCCCTAGCCCGTCGCCCAGGCGCCCACCCCAGCCCGTCGCCCAGGCGCCCGCCCCAGCCCGTCGCCCAGGCGCCCGCCCTAGCCCGTCGCCCAGGCGCCCGCCCCAGCCCGTCGCCCAGGCGCCCGCCCCAGCCCGTCGCCCAGGCGCCCGCCCTAGCCCGTCGCCCAGGCGCCCGCCCTAGCCCGTCGCCCAGGCCTGCGCCCTAGCCCGTCGCCCAGGCGCCCATCCTAGCCCGTCACCCAGGCCTGCGCCCTAGCCCGTCGCCCAGGCGCCCGTCCTAGCCCGTCGCCCAGGCGCCCGTCCTAGCCCGTCGCCCAGGCGCCCTCCCTGGCTCGTCACCCCAGCCCCGCAGGCAGCGCGCCACGCGGGTAGCGCGCCCCGCGGGTAGCGCGCCCCGCAGGAGGCGCGCCCCGCGGGTAGTGCGCCCCGCAGGCAGCACACCCTGCAGGCAGCGCGCCCCGGGGTGCTTTAGTGCCAGAAAATAAATAAATAAATTAAACCCTAAAAAAAAAAAAAAAAAAAAAAAAAAAAGGGGTTCACAGTGGGGGCCTGCGACTGTCGCCCGCGTTCCTGCTTGCCGGACGACCTGCACAGTTGCCTACATCCCGCAGCCGTCAGTACTGCAGCCCCTACTGTCGCACGTACTTTCCACTGCCAGTGGCTCTACTAGCGGCAGCCGACAGCCGCACTTACGGTCTCTAGCCCCGGCCGTTCCTACCTCCAGCCAGCCCTAGCTCGCCGCTTCTAGCTCCAGCCGTTCTCGCTCCAGCCGTTCTCGCTCCTCGCTCGTAGCTCAGTTTGCTCCGTGCTCCGGCCGTTCCTCGCCTAGTTTCACCTGGCGCTTCTAGCTCAGTTTGCTCCGTGCTCCAGCCGTTCCTCGCCTAGTTTCACCTGGCGCTCCTAGCTTAGTTCGCTCCGTGCTCCAGCAGTTACTCGCCTGGTTTCACCTGGCGCTCCTAGCTTAGTTCGCTCCGTGCTCCAGCAGTTACTCGCCTGGTTTCACCTTGCGCTCCTAGTTGTTCTCGTTTTTCACAGCAGCCTGTCGCTCCTGTCGCTCCTAGCCTGCCGCTCCTGCACCCCGCTAGCTTTTATCATGGAGTCCGCTAGGGTTCTCCAGCAGCAGGGACAGCAGCAGCGGCCTTTTCAGCAGTGGCTTCCGCAGCGGCAGGGGCGCCCTCAGCAGCTGTGGCGCCCTCAACAGCCATGGGGGCCTGGTGGTTCAGGTCGCGTTGGCTGCAGCAGCGGCCCAGCCAGCTGGGGGGCTCGTCGCGGTGGCCGCGACGTCGGCCCCTGCCAGTACCGGATCCTGACCGGCCCTGGTGCTGGCACTACCTGCTGGCGTCCTGACCACTCTGCACAGCGCTGCTACAGCCGCCTCGACGACCTTTACCGTGAGCGTTTTGGGCCTGAGTCGGCTCCCCCGATCTGGCCCGGTCTGTTTCGTAGTGGTTTCCCTGTGTTTGATATGTCTATGGATGCTGTTTATTCTGTCACGTACGGATCTCTTGGCTTACGTGTACCTAGCTTAGGACCTTTGCCTGTTGCTAGTGTCGGTACTTGTGCTTTTAGTGTAGGTGCTTGTGTAGTCACCAGCCCAGCCGTGACGACTGCTGTTGCGTCGCTCTCCTTCACGCTGGACTCCGGCGCGTCTCAGTGTTTCTTCCGCGACCACACCACTGTCACACCTCTTTCGGCTCCAGTCCCAGTTGCCCTGGCTGATCCTACTTCAGGACCAGCAGTTGCTCGTAGCTCGACCACCCTCCCGTGCCCGGCTGTCCCCTCTGGTTTCCTCACTGGTCTCTACATCCCCTCGTTCTCTCGGAACTTGGTGGGTGTTGGATACCTTCAGGACCGGGGGATCACAGTCACTTTTCCTGCGCACGGGAGGACTGCGATCTGTACGGACTCTTCCACCGGGGCAGTTCTTGCCACGTTCACCAGAGAGCCCCACTCAGGTCTCTTCGTCCTGCACACTCCGCCCCCGCAGGTAGCTGCGTCTGGTCAGGTTGCTTCGTCCCCCCCGGTAGCAGAGTCCGGTCAGGTGGCTGTGTCCAGTCCGGTCGCTGTGTCCAGTCCAGTCGCTGCGTCTTGCTCCTGTCGCTCTCTCGCCCACCGCACCGTCCTGTGGCACCACCGTCTTGGCCACCCGTCGATCCCTCGCCTTCGTGGCATGCTCAGTCAGGGACTAGTCACAGGTCTCCCACGCACCTTCCCGTCGCTCCCTCCCTCGCTTGCCCCTCCTTGCTCTCCGTGCGTCGCCGGTCGCTTACGTGCCACTCCCCACTCCTCCTCCCTTCGTCCGGCCACCGCTCCCTTCGAGACTCTCCACTTGGACGTCTGGGGCCCTGCCCCGACGCAGGGGTCTGGGAGGGAGCGCTACTTTCTGGTGGTCGTCGACGACTTCTCCAGGTACACCACAGTGTTTCCTCTTGCGAAGAAGTCCGAGGTGACTGCTACGCTGATCAGGTGGCTTCTAGCCACTGAGGGCACTCGTGGTCGTCGAGTCAGTTGTCTTCACTCCGACCGTGGGGGCGAGTTTCGCTCCGGCATTCTCGGCGGATTCTGCGGCGAACAGGGCATCACCCAGTCCTGGACGCTGCCAGAGTCCCCACAGCAGAATGGGGTTGCTGAGCGCCGCATAGGCTTGGTCATGGACATCGCCCGCACGTCCATGATTCATGCCCGTGCGCCCCATTTTCTGTGGCCTCACGCGGTTCGCTACGCCGCACACCAGCTGAACCTCCAGCCGCGTGTCTCGCGGCCCGAGGCTTCACCGACCAGTCTCTGGACTGGATCCCCTGGTGTTGGGTCGGCCTTTCGAGTCTGGGGCTGCCTTGCACTTGTTCGCGACACCTCCGCGGACAAGCTCTCGGCACGCGCCGTCCCCTGTGTCTTCCTTGGTTTCCCAGTGGACTCTGCTGACTGGTCCTTTTACCACCCTCCCCTCCACCAGTTCCTAGATTCCCGTGACGTCCGGTTTGACGAGTCCGTGTCCTACTACACCCGGTACCCCTGTCGAGGTCTCCCGGTACCCCCTCCCCCTCTCTTCCTCGCACCCTCTCCTCCTCCTGCTCCCG